AACAAAAAGTGCTGCCCTGGATGGAACGGTGATTGTGTTCTTGGGCTGGCATTAATGAAGTCGTTTTTAGCAGTGAGAAGAAATTTTCAGATCATTACTAGAGAAATTAATTTCTAAGAATCTAATTCATTAAAATGAAATACTGGCAATTGACACTGCAGCTTAATGAAGATTCTATGATTATCGGATGGGAGGGTGACCTGCCTGCGCCATGTCACCCCATTGGTCCCTTACCACACCTTGTGTGTTCCCCTGTAAGTTGCACTTTTTTTTTTTTTTTAAAGATTTTATTTATTTATGTGACAGACACAGCGAGAGAGGGAACACAAGCAGGGGGAGTGGGAGAGGGAGAAGCAGGCTTCCCGTGGAGCAGGGAGCCTGATGTGGGGCTCGATCCCAGGACCTTGGGATCATGACCTGAGCCGAAGGCAGACGCTTAACGACTGAACCACCCCGGCGCCCCGTAAGTTGCACTCTTGGTCTAAGGAGGACCTTCCCCGGTAGAGGCGTACCTTTCTTCCGTCAGGGGTGTGTAGTAGCTGCACACCCCTGCCATGGCCTCCAAACCAGCTCTCAGGATCCACGTGTAGGAGAGTGTAGGGTGGTCAAGCTTCCAAGACTACAGACTCCTCCAAATGAGGTGCTGCATGTGGCTGTCTGCCTTTCCTTGGGGGAAAAAGAGTCTGTGATCCTGGGTTTGTTCCCTCCCACACCTAATCCAGTGCAGTCTGTGGCCTAGTGTCCTGAATGTGAAGAAATGACTTTGGGCTCTTTGCGTTGAATGCTTATGGAGAAGGATTAAACACCCAGAGCGATTGTCATTTCCCATCCAGAAACATTTCAGGAGGAAAGTGTGATCACACAAAGAGATAAATGGCAGGGGCGCCTGGGTGGCTCAGTCAGTTAAGCGTCTGCCTTCAGTTCAGGTCATGATCCCAGGGTCCTGGGATCGAGTTCCGAATCGGGCTCTTGGCTCGGTGGGGAGTCTGCTTCTCCCTCTGCCCCTACCCACCCCTCATGTTTGCTCTCCTCCCTCCCCGTCTATCTGTCTGTCTGTCTCTCTCAAAAATAAATAAAACCTTTAAAAAAATTTTTTTAAAAAAGAGCTAAATGGCAGGAGGGCAGGGTGATGGGATGCTGTATGATGAGACGTTTAGAAGGAAATTTGTATTTCAAAAGTTCTTCCAAATGACATCAATTCACATTGACAAGTCACCATGATTAGCGAATATTTTTTATCCCTAAGAATAATAGTTCTATATTGTGGGACTCAAGCTGAGGACTTCATTTAATTAAGCTACTCACGTCAATGATGTTGAGCAAGCACATTAACTAGTTATTGAAAATAGCCTGTGAGATGCAGCAGATCTGGAAGTGAGGATGATGGAAAACTGCCAGCCAAGGCATTTACAGGTTTCAGTGCAAAATCTAAAATTCTAATAGAGAAAAAAAATTGTTAATTTAAATAAATATGATGCCAGTAATCCTTCCAAAGTCCTTCAAAGTGAATGTATTTTGGCAAGGTGCTGACATTCTCCAGTGTGTTCTCCCAAATGTTTCTATTGTCCAAATGGCCGTATTGAAGACACAGAAAGAAAAGGTTTGGTGAGCCAGATACTGAATTTATAAACAGCTCCTTTTGAGATTAGATGAACAACCCCAAGTTTTAGGGAAATGATTAGAACTTTTGTATTCTTTCTCCATACCAGTTTTATTTAAAGCCTTAGACTAGGCTCTGTTTTCTGAGTAGTAGATATAATGTAGACTTACTGTGTTGTGAAGCCTCAGGCTTCTTCATGTTCTGTTTTTGGAAATACGTTAGTAAGTTATTCAGACAAGTGAAAAACGTGACTAAAACAACAGCAAATTTTGATAAGCACGTTTGAAAAAGTATGTATTAATTGTAGACTTTGTCCGTAATTTCAGGGGAATAATTAAAAGGAAAAACTTATAGGACCAATGAATGTATATATTTGAGAAAAAGCTCCCTGGGTCACGACAGTCTTGAGTAGGAAATGAAGAAAGGTGCATTTGTTGCCTGTTATATGTGCCAGGGAACCAGATTTCATTGTTTTATTTTTTTGAGGTGGGGCACGTGGTGGGGGGGGTGGGCAGAGGGAGAGTGAGAGAGAATCTTAAGCAGGCTTCGCACCCAGAGTGGAGCCTGTCGTGGGGCTCGATCTCACGACCCTGAGATCATGACCTGAGCCAAAACAAGTTAGATGCTCAACCAACTGAGCCACCCAGGCGCCCCTAGATTTCGTTATTATAATAAATTAGCTCTTCTGTTGTGAAGACATTGCGTAAAATAACAATCATTAGATGTTTTTCAGCAACTGTCCACAGATTCAAATTTAGGTCTTCAAGTAACTACTATATTAGCCAGAGTTTCATTGAGTTTCATGTATTAGGGACCTTTATGAGGTAGGAGGTGTTTGCTGTAATGGAAGGGAGCACAGTTTGAGTTGTCCCTGGTCATAGGAATTTTAAATATGGAAAATTGGATTGTGTTTTTTTTTTTTAAAGGTTTTATTTATTTATTTGACAGAGAGAGACACAGCGAGAGAGGGAACACAAGCAGGGGGAGTGGGAGAGGGAGAAGCAGGCTTCCCGCAGAGCAGGGAGCCCGATGGGGGGCTCGATCCCAGGACCCTGGGATCATGACCTGAGCCGAAGGCAGACGCTTAACGACTGAGCCACCCAGGCGCCCCTGGATTGTGTTTTTAAAAAGCGTAAGTTTTCTTGATATTCTAATAGCTATTGTCATACACAAGGTTGGAAATAATAACTGGCTTCTAGGTAGCTTATCAGTTCCTTTTTTGGAGTTTTTTGTGATTATTTTAGTCTTCAGCTGGGCTATTGCTAAAGTCCTGTGGCAGTTGGATCCTGAAGTGATGGTGATTTAAAATAAAAGTGGGCGGGGGCTTTATACATAGACCATTTGATAGCATTAGAGATGTCAAATATTTGTGAATTGTTATTTAGAAATTGCTTGCAAAATTTGGAGGAATAATTAGAAATAATATGCTGGGGTGCATGGGTGGCTCAGTCAGTCAACCGTCTGCCTTCGGCTCAGGTCATGATCCCAACGTCCTGGGATCTCCACGAGTCGGGCTCCTTGCTCAGCGGGGACCCTGCTTCTTCCTCTCCCTCTTCCCTGCTCATGCGCTCGCTCTCTCTCTCTCTCTCTCTCTCCCCTCTCAAGTAAATAAATAAAATCTTTAAAAAATTAGAAATAATAGGCTGATCTTTTTTGTTAGCAGCTCTGTTGAGATTCGGTTTATAAACTATGAAATTCCTCATAATTTTTAACTAAAGGGGAAATATAGACAGGTGTCTCACTATAAGTCCCTTCTATGTTAAAGCATTTTAAACAACAAAGCATTATTTTAACTAATAGGGTAATCTTTTTGATAGTAATGAGATGATCTTTTGGCCTTTCTAAATCTGTAAGCAAGCAAGACTTGAGTGGACCAGGGAGATGCTATGGTTCCCTGTGTTGGAGAAATACAAGTTTGTAGAGGATAAACACATGCTTAAACATGCTGACCAGTTGTCAATATTGTGAAATGCTCAAAAACTCCCTTGTGGCATAAGCAATAATCAGGTTAAAAAGAATTACTAGAAAAGCATAGAAGAGACCCTGATAAGAATGGTTTTGATTTAATGACAAATCTTAGTTTTTTCCTTTTAGAGCGGATTCATTTAAACTTGAACATGTGTGTGAAATGTAGCATAGGTCCAGAAACAGTTGTGAAACCTAAGAAGAGCATAGTGAGTAGGATAAAGCTAGTGCCTGTGTAACCACCTTGTGGATGAAGAAATAGAACCTTGCAGCCTCTTGGGATCACTGGGCATTTCCCTTCCCCCACCTCAGTCCTCTGTTGTTTTAATGCTAATCCTCTCTTCCCCCACCCCCTAGATATATAGGTATGTGTCAATAAATAAAATGGCTTATGTATGTGTCCCTACCATTAAAGTTTAATTTTGCCTGTCTTGTGAATCCATAGAAATGAAATCACATTCTGTTTGGCTCAACATCAGGTTTATAAGATCCATCCATATAGAAGCATGCAGTACAGTTTGTTCATTTTCATTGGAATATAGTATACCATTGTATGAACATAATATGAGCACTTATCCATTTTATAGTTTGCAGGCATTTGGGTTTTACCCAGTTTTTTCCTACTGCTTATTATAAGCTGCTTTGGACATTATAGTCTATAAAACCTGATACACATGGGCATGAGTTTCTCAAAGTGTGGTGCCTCCATGCACAGCCTTAGCATAAGACTCGTTAGTGATGCAGATTGTCAGGTCCCATCCCAGGTTTATATTCAAATACCACCTTGGGATATATATTCTATCTTTATATGCTTATTTCAGTGACTGTGCCTTTGCTAAAAATATTTCTGGGTCTTCTAATTTGGAACAGCCTCAGGAACCCATTAATGATCACATACGTTCATTTGTACTCATACAGATAGGCACACGCCTAGACTCATTACTCATTTTTGAAACAAATGGTTTTTTTCCAGTTTGAGTCAAGGTTTCGGTATTTTCGAAGAATAATATTCAAAAGAAAAGGATTTGCCCACATTGAAGACAACCCAGAGTATGCAGTGGACTGAAGACCTACTGAAGGGGGCCGCGGATGCGGGTTGGGCAGAGCATTGTTCTGGAGTGAGGGCCGCGGAGCCCCACAGACACGGTGGGACAGACCACAGAGTAGGGCAGACGCAGGCTCAGATCCATTGGTACCACTGACTAGCTGTGTCTTAGGGAAGTAGTGAATTTCTCGGAGCTTCGCTTTTCTCCTCTGCAAAGCAAGGATAATAACCTTCACTATAAAGATTCAAAACCATTCACAAGCCCTGCAGATACATAAAGATTATCTGCAGGGCCACACCTACTGTGGAAGCATGTCAGCCCTGGGTCTGGTGTGGCCAACGCTCATGCCTTCATAGCTTTCATGCTTTTTACTTTTGTGCTTCCTGCAGGAACGATTCCAGGTGAAGAATCCTCCCCATACATACATTCAAAAGCTCAAAGGCTATCTGGATCCAGCTGTAACCAGGAAGGTAAGATGGATTTGTTTTCACTCTTTGTTGTCATTTCCTCTGGAGTGTGCATTGGAGGGACCTTCCTTCCTCTGCACTACAGCCTCTGCTGGAGCCTCCAGGAAACCAGTCTTGGGAGACAGACACCATGAGAAAACAAAGAAGAAAGCCATCCTTCTTGTGTAAGGATATGTTTGAAAGTGCTTTCCCAAGACGGGCGTCACGTACCTCTGATGGTTAGTGAGTCACTGCCATTTCCAATTACACAGGGCAGTGAGTCCAGCCCAGAGGTGTTCAGGCCCCTGGAAAAGCAGCCTTAGCAAAGGGAATACTTGTCTTTCATGCCTTGGTGCGTTTCCAGAGGCCTTGAAAAATCACTGGGGCTTTGTCATCCCAGCTGTGCACTCACATCCTATGTTGATGCTCTTAGCAGCTTCCCCCCACCCCGGCCTCACCCTGCCCCTGGCCCCAAGAAGGTAAGGAGAGAATAGTTGATTCCATTCTCAACTGACTGTCTCCTTTTGCAAACAAGCTGTGCTTTGTGCAGACACACAATTGGTTTAAACCGATGCCTTGGGGTAAAGCATGTAGCCTGGCACAGCCCTGCGGGCCGGGATCGGTCCTGGGATGTCTCAGCACCGAGCTGTCCTTGCTCAGGATGGGGATGGGCGCTCTTCACCAGAGAGCACTTGTTTTGGGGTTGACCTTCCACAACTCCTGCTTTCAAGGCTGCAGCAAAAATAACTGGAGCTGAATTCCCCCTGTTGTTTTAGGGTGTGACTCATGAGAGAAGAAAGACGCACTTTTCCTAGTTTCCCGCTGTCTCCAGGGCTCTTGCAAATTTTTAAAAAAATCTTTATCTTCTACTTCTACTCTAAATATTCCTCCACGCCCCCCACCCCCGGCTCACTGCCCCCTATCCAAAAAAAAGGCAAGCAAATGAGAACAGCTATTCCTTCCTTTTGGAAGTTTCTTGGCCTTTTGTCCTATGCCTAACACGAGACAGGCAGAAGAAATACCATCTGGGATGATGGTGACAGTGCGCTGTAGACTTGGCCGTCGGCTACACACATGTGACCTGACTCTGGTGCAGCCTCTTCTAAGAATGTACCTGTCGAAGTATCATGATAGCCCCCTCACAAATATGGCTCACATGTGTTTCTTTTCTTTAAAGAGCTTCTGTTCGGGCCCCTAAATGAGACAGCTGCCCAATTCTTACCTCTTTCTTGTCTCCTTCCCCAAGGATAGGGCAGCCTTCAATTTCATCAGATTACAGAGGGTTAAATGAAGACCCTCCCCCCCTCCCCCCGCCCCAAACACAACCCAGGACAAACCAGGAGGTTTTGGGGGCTGTTTCTTTTTAAAGGAGCAGCAAGATTCTCCTTGAGAAATATTTTCAGAAATCCCCTCAACTTGAAACCCTCGGGCTGGACCGCTCGGACCCCGGCCTTGGACACTCTCGTCTGCAGCTGCGTGTTGCCAAAGCGCTGGTGTTTGTGCCCAGACTGAGTGTTCCTCACACACACAGTTCTCTCCCTATTCATCAGACTCTTAGGAGAAAGGAGAGAGTAAGGGAACTCCCCGAGAAGGCTTCTCAGAGGCCGTCCCTGAGTGTGGTAAGGAGGAGATGCTTGGACGGAACAGGAGGCTTTGTCCTGGCACAGTTCCGGTTCTCTTCTGGAACAATTATTCCTCAGTGAAGCAAAGGATGTAAAAGAAATAAGCTGCTTAGTTTTGCTCCATTGCAAATAACTTAATAAAGGACGAAGACAAGGATATCTGTTTGGACTGACCTTCACTTGTGAACTCTCAGCCCCAGACTGCGTGTGTTCATCTGAGTGGCCTCGTTCGGTCCGTGCCTTGCTTTTCAAGTCAGTCATTCAGTCGAGAAGAAAAAAAAAAAATGGATGTTGGCGCAACCACTGGCAATAGGAAATGATCTGTTCGACCGAAGCCTAGAGAAAGGAAATTTTGCTTGGAGTAAGGCAGCGCTTGCAATTAGAATGAGTTTCAGATTCTCAGTTATACCGCGGCAGGGAAGAGGGAAGATTTCAAATCCAGGCTTTCAATTTTAGCCAGTCTAGGCTGAGTCGTCTTCCCTTCACTGTGTCTGGAGTCCTTGAATACTTTTCACTCATTTATCTTTTATACACATCGAATAGATGATATTTAATTTGCTGTCTTCTAAAAAAAAAATTTCATAAGTGTATTCTATTTAGATTTTCTTCTAAATAGTTTTAGATCTGAACCCCTGGAGGGCAGGCATGGAACAGCCTAAATTAGATATCTCTGTGAGCAGGACTCTCCAAAGCAGTCTCTTCATTGCATACCAGGCGGTGCTAGTCTGTGACCTGGGGGGATGTGCCCAGGAAAAAGGCTACATACAGACCGTGAAGAAAGGAGGGGGTTCTCTGCAGGCAGTGCGGTTGTGAAATGAAACCTATTGCATGGATCTTTGGGGGCGCTCATCCCTGGGCCTGCCTTTTATGGGACGGGGCCCAGGGAATGGTGCTCACGACTCGCTGATGGTACCTGCTTCTTGTCGCGGCTCCCCACAGGCACGTGATTTGTCTTTGCAGGGTTTTGAAGCATGCCAAATACGTTTCCGAAGTGCAGAGCATTAGCAATCATTGTTTATGTGTTAGCGAGGTGGATGCCAAGGCTTCTCCATAGCCCTGAGTCCTGCTGGAGATTGCACAGTTCCCGAGAGAACATCATACAGGGGCAGAGTCAGTGTGGTTTTTATCTGTTACCTCGCAGCTGCAAAAGTGTAGTGACTGCCAAGAAATGTTCTCTGCTCCTGGTGTCATTCCTGGTATCTCCTAGTGTTTTGATCGAGGTCCTCTGTTTTGATATATGCCTCTTAGTCCTTCAGCAGATCCTCTTTTGTACCGTGTTGTGTCCTTCAGTGCTGTGCTGGGTGCTTTTGTGGCTCGTGATGACCTTCCCCTAAGGACCCGTGAAGGCCACCGGGAGCCAGTCAGAACTGTGTATGAGGTGTAGCTGGGAACACTGAGCTGCTTTCTAAAGCTCACAGTGGCAGGCAGTCCGAGACTGGTGACTCCGACATGGGAATGGCCTCCCAGGAGCAGTTGTGTGGCAGAGACTCTGCTTCATCAGTAGTCCTCATTGCTGGAAAGCTCTTCGGGAGACACTGGGCTCGGATGTCCCTCCAAAGGATACACGACTCTTCTGTCATTTCTTAGGCCTTTCTTTCTTTTTTTTTTTAATTTATTTTTTATTATTATTTAATCACCATACGTTACATCATTAGTTTTTTTTTTTTTTTTTTTTAAAGATGTTATTTACTTATTCATGAGAGAGAGAGAGAGAGGCAGAGGGAGAAGCAGACTTCCCGCAGAGCGGGGAGCCCGATGCGGGACTCGATCCCAGGACTCCGGGATCATGACCTGAGCCGAAGGCAGACGCTTAACCATCTGAGCCACCCAGGCGCCCTACATCATTAGTTTTTGTTGTAGTGTTCCACGATTCATTATTTGCGTATAACACCCAGTGCTCCATGCAGAACGTGCCCTCTTTAATACCCATTACCAGGCTAACCCATCCTCCCACCCCCCGCCTTTCTTGACAAAAGAGGGGAGTGGCTCTTTTTTCCTTGCATTGGGGATGCTTTAATTTCACATATCTGACTACCTGGATTCTAGCAACCGAGAAAGTCTTTGGAGTTCCTTAAGAATGGCAACCCGGGGGAAACTGTGGGACTCTGTTGGCTTCCCTGGGGCCTTGGTAAGGGGCAGTTTGTTGGGGGTGGAGAGGAGAAGAGGATGACAGGAGCCCGCCCATGCTGAGCAGGGTTCCAATCTTCACTGGGACACCAGGGCCTCCTCCTGGCTCTCCACACCCCACATCCTGCTTTTCCCGCCTTCCTCCATTCCTTCCTGTCCTTGGATGCCTTCACCTTTGGACCTGGATGACTCCATTTCCACTGCAATTGGGGCAGCAGAGGAGAAGGGTCCCTAATATCCTGAGCTGGAATTCTCACAGCCTTTTCTTGGGAGACCGTGTAAAATGCAGGTGGTTTGATTTTGTAGCACAGAGAGCGTAGAACTCTTCTTAGAAGGCATGGCCCATCAAATGTCCCACTTCCAGAGTGGCCTAAAACTTCAGTTACTATAAATAAATGTTTCTGGAAGAAATTGTGTTCCTGAGAACTGATGTGCATCATGACCCAGTGATACGTGGGGGTCATTTAGAGTTGAGAGGATAGAGAAGCATACATTTACTGCCAGAGGGGGATTTGTTGAAGAAAGAAAGGCCTGAGGGAGTTCTGGAAGGATTGGTGGGATTTTGATGGGCCAGGGAATGAGGAAGGGCATTCTGAAAGTAGGAGGGACCTTCCAAATAAAGGCTCATGGGCAGAGGTAACTCTGAATGCTTATTTTTGGGAAATGTTAACATGGTTCTGCAGAAAATAATTAACATAGCAGTCCTGAGATGGCTACCTTAGAAAGGCCAGCTTGCCAGGGTGGCTCTTTGTTGGCAACTGAGAACTTGCATTTCAGGAGAGTTCATACCTTTCCCTGATAAGAATGATTCACTGTGCCAACAACATGGTGTGTGCTGAATGCCTTTTTGCTTGCAGGCAGTCTGGACTTCTGGTGTGTGCCAGGCAGAGAATGCCAGAATGACCAGTCCCCAGTAAAAACCCAGGGCACTGAGTCTCTAATGAGCTTCCCCGGTGGACAGCATTTCACAGATACTATCATTGTGATTCCTCTTGCAAAGGACACAAATTGTTCTTACCGTGAAAATCAGCTTCTAAGAAAGGAGACTATTGCAAGCTTGTATCTGGTTTCTTCTGGACTTCACCCCATGCACCTTTCCCTTTGTTGATTGTGCCTTGTATATCTTTGCTGTAATAAATCTTAGCCGTAACAACAACCATATGCCAAGTCCTAGGAGGAAGTCTTAGCAAATCATTGAAACTGGGACCGGGGGAGTCTTAGGGACCCCAACACTTAGGCATATTGGTGAATATTGTTGTAGGGCAGGCAGAAATAGTCTACTTACTCAAAGACACCTAGTACATGAAATAAATTTTTCCCAGTCCTTTCTTAGAAGCTGATTTTCATGATAAGAACAATTTGTATCCTTTGCAAAAAGAAAGGTGAGAGAAGCCCACTTTATTTATTTATTTATTTATTTATTTATTTATTTATTTATTTAACATTTTTAATTTAAATTCAGTTAATTAACGTATAATGTATTGTTGGTTTCAGAGGTAGAGGTCAGTGATTCATCAGTCTTCTGTAACACCCAGTGTTCATTATATCATATGCCCTCCTTAATGTCCATCACCCAGTTACCACATTCCTCCATCCCCTCCCGTCCAGCAACCCTTAGTTTGTTTCCTATGTTTAAGAGTCTCTTATGGTTTGTCTCCCTCTTTGATTCTGTCTTGTTTTATTTTTTCCTCTCTTCCCCTATGATCGATCCTCTGTTTTGTTTCTTAAATTCCACATATCCGCGAGATCATATGAAAATTGTCTTTCTCTGATTGGCTTATTTCACTTAGAGAGAAGCTGACTTTAAAAGCAGAGATATTTTCATATTGGGGTAAACATTACAAATGGCACTTACAGCAGTTGATAAAATATGTTTTGTGAGAATATGTGTTCTTGAATTCTAGAAATTCAGACGGCGTGTTCAGGAATCCACACAAGTGCTAAGAGAACTGGAAATTTCTTTAAGAACCAACCATATTGGGTAAGTGTGCCTGTTTAACATTTTAGCTTTAAGGCTTTTGGACACTTTACAAAGTGACTGAATCATATCCAAAGAATTAAGCTTCCTTGTTGATCATTAAAAGTTAAGAGACTGAGGTTTAGATGGGTGGAACATTTGTTGGTACTTGAATTGCTCACTGTACAATTATCAGTAGAAGCAGAACAGTCTTTGATTTGGGCTATTATAACAATCCTAAAATTCTTTGCTTGGATGCAGTGATAGTGCTTAGTCTCTTGGGTGCGTAACCATTCCTGGCACATCAGGAACTCCCAACAAGTAATGAACTCTGAGATACTGGAGGATCTCTTAGCCGTCACTGGAGTTCTCCGAGCTCATTAGCTGAAGCAGCTTCATTGTCCTTCCCTCAGTTCCAGAAGGGAAGAGGAGCGGGAGTGATGTCCTCTTACACCCCTCATTGCACTTAGTTGTTCTGAGTCTCTTTGTCCTGCATCCCCCAATTTTTAGGACCGGGAGTGTAAATCCACTCCAGAAAGTAAAGTTTGGGGGATCTCAGCGCTAAGCGTTTCTAAGAGTTTTTCATGTGGCTTGCCTCTAGCAAGCCCAACTTTATCACATTCTCCCTTATTCCTAGAAGAGCATAATTGTACAGTACCTTAGAATAACATGGTTTATCTTCATGGCAGAAGGATACCAGATCTCCTATTTTATAGCTTTAGTTCTTCCTAAAGTACCTATTGAACATTGAGCAAGTGATTTAGCCTCTCTGCACTTTCTTTGAATTTAACAGTGGGAAGACTGTAGATTTTAGATCCTTCAGAACTTTCTCCTGTGACACTCTTTGCAGGTCTATTGGAAATGAAGTTTTGTATGTTACAGTATAGTTTTAAAGATTATTCTGTAAAATAAATATACTACATAAATAATAGTTTACTTCCACTTCAGACTGTGTTAGGTATAAGCCAATAAAATGGTTAATTTGCACAGTTATTTCAGAATAAGCTTTTTTAAATTGTGGATATGCAAGGCTGATTGATATGTGATGAAGCTTGGGTGAGAATGTTCATTTCCTAAAGGATAACTTTGCACATAATGTCCCCTTAAGAATGATGTATTTGGAAAATAAGTGATTTCTGTAGTTGATAATCACTTTGAGAAAATGGGCTGTCAAACAGTAGATCATAGAATCATGATTTTAGAACATGATTTTAGAATTGGAAGAGAAATTAAGGATTCCCCAGTTCCTCCTTTTACAGATGAAAAGCATTCAGGACCAGAGAAGGTGAGTGGCTCCTGTGAAGTCCACGCTGTACAGCCCAGGTGCTGGGGTTCAAAATGCTGTGTTCTTTTTCTTATGTAGTTAAATCTGGCAGTTCTTCCCTGGAAAGGAAGTAAGGTAATCAGGGCTCTGGGATCAGAGCAATGAGGCCTGTCTTTTGGGGGTGAAAATGGTGGTGATTTAATATAGTTGGGCATCCAAGCTTGGGAAATTCAAATACTTTCCAATATTTGGGGATCAGGAACTAGATTCCGTTTGGTAAGGCCCAAACCCATGTTGTTGGCACTTCTTACGATGGTGGAATGAGCTGCAGCCAGGGTTTCTACGAATTGTCGAGGAGAATTTCTTCAAGCATTGCTGAAGTAACATGAAATTGACCATCACATACCAAAGCAAGACAGTCATTTCCAATACAGAGTTGGCTGAATAGAAGAGCCCTGGTTGGGAGGGGGCCAGTGCAAATCTGTAAGCAATCGGAGTGGTGTGCTGTTTTGGATGCTATAGGCATGTTGAACGATTCTCACATTTCTTTCATCTTTAGCATCTGAAGTTTCCCTTTGTCTACCACCTCTGTGCAAGACTTTCTGCAAGCTTTGGCTTTAGCAGCAGAAACATTCATGGAGGTGCATTGTCTGGTTGTATGCAAGCATTTATTAGCATGGCCTTATATGGAAGGAAACCACGCACCAGGGTTTTGACCTATCTCGACTGTCCTGAAAACCTAAGCAAGCCTGCACTGGACTCTAACTCCGATGGAAACTAACACGCTTGACCTCGTTTGATTGGGAAATCTTCTGAATTACTCAGTAGTGTGAAAATAATCAATTACTACAGTGAGGAATTCTTGGAATGCAGTGGGCTATCTAAGAGATTCATAGATTTTATTGTACTTTCTTGAGGTACCATAATAGAATGGTAATTGGGTGCCCATTTATTTTATGGAAAGAGAGATTGTGGTTCAGATTTTTGCCATGCCCTTGACTAGTTATTAAATAAATTACTTAGATAAAGTGCATAAATTCTTTGTATTTATTTACCATGTGACCTAAGTTAACTTCTCATCTATAAAATGAGGATAATAATATTTGCCAATAGGAATGTTGCAAGGTTAAATGAGATAATTTATAAAAGACCTAATATAGGGTCTAATACATAGTAATTACTCAAAATGCGATAACTATTGTTGTTAGGCTTGTTGAAAATAATAATAATTCAATAGTATGTATCTCTAAGGAATTCCATACAGAGATTGTTACTTTCTCTGTCTGAAATGACCCTGACACCTAGGAGATTGTGATTCCCAGAAATTAAGAGGAAGAATTACATTTAAATATCTACTTGTCCTGAAGAAGTTATTATTGGCACACGCTTGTGTTTTAAGCTTAAAGTCTGGGGCTTTGCTGAGCATAACATTCCAAGCTACAGCTTTGTCAAGCAAAGAGTTTGTTCTGAGTATTGATATAAGCCTAAAACTCTGTAAATGGAGCAGTCTTCTGAGAAAGAAAATTAATTTTCTGAGCCAAATTGAAATAAGAATTGGACTAGAAAAAGTCTTATTCACTTACTCTTAGGAACTATAATAAAAGAGAAGAATTAGATTAGGACTAATCCAAGCCCTTGAAGGGACTTGAAAGGAGCCAAGCCCTGTGAGAACACATTGGCTGTGCGGTGTGAGTGGGCCGATGTCGTGATATTTTGTATGTCAGGCTGATAAGATTCAAGGGGTGGTGATGGTGGTGAGCTGGATAGGTTTATGGGCTTTATTCCATGACACTGAGGTATAGTTTATCTCTCCTTCCAGGTACTTTATTTTAATAAAATTCTCCATTATGATAGAAAATTGCTTTTCATCCTGAATGCAAGAACATAGAAGTTCTGAAAGATGTTCATTTCACTTTATCTCATTGGAGCTGAGAGAATGGGCCTGAGGTTGTGGGAGGAATGTGCCAGTTGGCAGGGACAAGGTTTGTACAAAGGGGAAGGAGCCTGGAAACTCTCAGTGAAGGTCTGTCTTCCCTCCTGCATTTCCCGGTACCTTGGTGACCTGGTGCTGTGCCAGGCCAAAAAATAAGAGACAGAAGAGTAAGGCTGGTTTTAACAGGTATACAACATGTTTGGGGTATGTGTGTATCAAGCTACCCTATGATTAATTCATTCTTAGATGTTGATTCTTAGAAATCCTCAAGATTACAATCTTATCATTTATTAAACATGTTCAGTGTGTTATTTCTTACAAAAATCTTTTTATTATTGGCCTTTACCTCTGAGCCCATGTTTTATAGATGAGGAAACTGAGTCACCTATTAATTATCTTGCTCCAGTCCACATAACTGAGAAGCACTGAGATTGTTCAGATGTTATCTAAACTGGGAGTTACTAAATTTTTTTGATGTCAGGACTCCTTTACTCTCTTAAATTATTTTGAACCCTAATATGCTTTTGTTTATGTGGGTTTTTTTCTCTTAATGTTTACCATATTGGAAATTTAAACTGATAGATGTTAACTTTCCTTATTCAATAAATTTTAGTATTTATTTTAAAGTAAATAATGTAAATATATAAATACATAATAATAAACATAGCACAGACAACATATTTTGTGAAAAATATTTTCCAAAGCAAGAAGGAAAATTAGTGACAAGGGGGGGGGGGCATTTTTACAAATCTCTTTAATGTCTGGTTAATAGAAGGCAGATGGATTCTGATTTCTTTGTCTGCATTTGATTTGTTGTAATATGTTGTATATGTATGTGAAGATGTATATGAAGAAAACCTGGCCTTGCATACATACATCACTTGAAAAAAGTAGTTTTTAAATAACCTTTTCAGATTGTTGTGGATATTCTTCTTTGATAGTACACCATCCTTCAAGGAGCGGTAATTTCTTAGAGTTACTTGCAATGTAGAATCTGAAACGTCATCAATGAGCTTTTGTACTTTGTTAAACTAAAACTCATTGTGCTGTTTTGAAAATTGAATAGGTCTTTCTACCCAGGCGTAATTTTGGGTAACATCATGAATTGGTCATTTGGAAAATATTGTTTCACTGAATTATTCTGATCTTTCAAGAATTGAGACATTTTATTCTACAATATAAAAACAGTTGCATTCATTAATAATTACCAGTCTCATCTGAATATCCTTTAAGTATTGGGAAGTTGTCAAGCTTGTGCTGGTCAAAGCAAGTGTTCCAAAATTTTCATTTTTTTTGGTAGAAACCTCAAATTTTATCATGGATGACAAATACTGTCGGTTGTTTTCCTTGAAACAACAGGCTCACTTCATTCACTTTTGAGAAAATGTCTGCCAAACACCAAACAGAATAACCACAGTTGTTAGTCATTTTCCATTTCATATGTAAAAAAAAAAAAATAACCCGAAAAACACACAAACCAAAAAAAAAAAACCCAAAAAACTCGTTCAGTGTGTGACTCAAACAACTGCACAGGTGCTTTTCCTGGAGACAACTGTGGTACTAGGGTAGGCAGCAGAAGTGCTTCATTTGGGCTTTCCATTTTGTCACATAGAAAATTTAAAAGAAGTAAACTCAAGGGACAGGCGTTAATAAAAATCCATAATTTTCATTGCTTCATTAAGGACCGTTTCAAGTGAAGCTGACTTTTTGTTTGCCTTGCAAGTGCTTGGGGTGAGAACACAATAAAGAGGTGTAGTTTTCGTCAGCTGCAGTTTTATCCACCATTCCTTTTGTACTATCTGTGCAGGTTCCAGCACTGTGAAAAGCCACTACTATCTTAATATTTTTATGAAAATCGTTGTAACTTCACAAACCCCTCAGAGGGTCTCAGGGCGCCCTGCTGATGTGTGAGCTGCACTGAGAACCATCTTGTGATGCTGTCTTGCAGAATAGATTTGGTAGTTTATGCTGAATCTGGGGGATGCTTACCTTCTTTCTCTTGCTTCTTGAGATTTTCTTTTCGTGATTTTTCAGCAACTGCGGTTTCCACCCTGTGTTAGAAGCACCTCTCTAAGGAGACAGAGAAAGGGAGTTCACCCCTTGTTCCTTTATCTTGTGATCTTGGGTCTGCTTTGTTTGATCTTAGAAATTTGGAGCCAGAAAGGTCCCTTGAGACTTCATTTTCTAGATCAGAACAGTGAGATTCTAAATTGGCGGTGGGGGGAGAGAGAAGCCAGCAGCTCTGAAACAGCTTTGACCTGTCGACAATAAAACAGTGCCTTTTGCGTCTGCACTTAGATCCCTTCCTTGAACAAGATTTTTTTTCCAGAGCTATTTTTCATTATCATGGTTTCTTCCAGCTCCTGAGCAGCTGATTTGGAATTTGCCTAATTCAAATTTACAACATATGGTAATTACCCTGAATCTGTGGGGGTACTCAGTAAGTGATGCGTGCTGTTGGAATCAGAAATAATTCTAGTTCCCAAAACCTATCAGCATCCAATTTGGAATGGTGTGCGTATTGGCAGTATGTGAAAAAGTGTGTGTAGCATGCACAGAAGTGAAAAATGGAAATAAGTTACTAGAGGAACCCTAAATTTATGATATGTCATTGCATGATCACCTGCATAAATCTGCATAACGGGACATCCATTTTTTTAAATGCTTTTAAAGATACAGCTTTGAAAGTTGCCCATTTTTCATCTTCACCCATTTTCTGTCTATATTGGTTTCCTTTCCCTGGAAGTTGACTCTCACCTCTGTTCTCTCCCACACAGAATATCCCAAGTGTGGCGGGGACAGGGATTGAGGGGACGGGGGGAAATGTGAAGGCTTTGTTTTCCCTGTAAACCCATAGACTTTTTGCTGCAATGACTATGCTAACCTGGTATCATTTGACAGAGGGGATAAGGTGGTCAACCATGGTGGGTTTTTATCTTACTCTTTTCCTAGATCACCTAGGGGTGTCTGGGCCAGATCAAAGACCCAGGGAGCAGCTCGGGGCTTAGAAAAAGAGGGTTAGCTGTGTGAAATCAAACTTCTCAGAGGCAGGACATGTCACACTCCAGCCGCCTTGTTAGGGACCGTGTGGCTTGTTCCTGCCCTTTGAAAGTTGTGTTTAAGGCACTTACGCTCAGTCAGCAAGTGAGGGTGGAGGAGCCTATGAGGGCACTGAGCTGAAGAAAGAGAAGCTAATGATAGTCTTTATCCCTGAATCAAAATCTATGCACATTAGCATTTGGAGTCAAGACAATTGTGGCTCTGAATGTACTTGGCTCTTCCTGCCCCCCCCTTCCTTTTTTTTTTTTTTTTGGATTTTCTTATCTGTGAGTCATTTGCCTCCTATCTACTTTGTGGTTAAACTCCCTGAGTTGGAGGCGCTGGTGGTTAAATGGCAGGTCCATGGGGTGTCCCGGACATCTCTACTGTTTAGAGGCTGTGTGTCTGGGAAGTCAACCGAAGGCATTACAATGGTGGTGGTTCTTAGCTCCTACAGGAGTGTTTTTGTGAGCCACTGGGATAGAAAACGTAGAACTGAGATGGCTCTGAAGACTCTGGAGCGGAGGGTGTCTTTGCATTCTAAAATGAATACCTCCATGCCCAGCCCCAGGGAGGCCTGCTGCACACCTGCCACTGAGCTGAGGGCCACTTTCAGTGGTGCGGCCAGAGCCCACAGGCCAGACCCACGGAGAAGCCTTAGAGAAGCCGTAAGAGGCTTGAGTTTCAAGAGCAGCTAGTCCAGGAGTTTTCATAGTGAGTGCCAGCCTTTCTTTAGTCTCCTAACAGTTATAAAAAGAAAATTCATTCATTCATTCATTGATTCATTTTACTCTTTCTAGGCTTCTAGTTATTAGCACTTAAAAATGTCCCATGCCTCCTGAGATCTAGTGGTATAGGGAGAATAATTAAAATTAATCAGCTGAAAGTATCCCGGGGCAGATGCCGGGAGCTGGTGTATGTGGTGGTCTGGAAGGGAAGTTTCAGTGGGACCAGTGACCGGCTCTTGAGAGTCCCGACAGGTGGTTCTTTCACTTGCCACTGTAGGTCTTTTTTAAATTAAAAGTTATTTGCTTCCCTGTGGCTGTGTTGGGTGCCTACATTTTGTGATAGCCTGCCTGAGGCACGTGGGGGAAAATAAAGAGATAAGCTGTCTGCTTTTCCTGCTTTGCTGCCCCTGGGATTACCTGCAAGCCTGAGTTTGCATCTTGGAGATGATAGATCTACAAGAAAGAATGAGCTTGCGGGTAAAACAAACGACCAAACAAAAACAAAGGAGAAAGAGCCCCCAAAAGAATTTTAAAACAGGCATCCTGAGTCCACCAGATTTTTTTCTTCCTTTAAGACAAAGATTTTGAGCGGTTGCTCAGCCTTAAAGTTAAAATTCGATTGTGCTCTAATAGTTTACAAAACTGGCTCCCACAGTAGCTATCAGCCTATTTTTTTTCTTTTTCCCCTTGGTGCTTACCGAGGAAAGCAACCAGTTTTGGAATGCATTTGGTGGATGTACCTCAAATTCCATTTCTGTGATGGTAGCAGACCTTTTGACTTGTTATTTATCGAAGTTTTCAAACCTAGAGAAGGTTTAATCAGGTATCATACATTCTTTGAAGAGGAATGCCCTGGAGGAAATCTGTAATGGGGGCTAACAGGTGTTTATCTTCAATACCTGAAGGTTCGGTTTGACCACTATTATGAAGTGCGAATGAAAACCAGTAAAAATTCTCAGTGAACTGCATTCAAACCCACCATTCATAGGCAAGGTGATACTATTTAAAATGAATTAAAAAAAAAAAAACCATGATATGTCATGTCTTGGCTTTGCCAATGTTATGTGGTGCCTGCAAGTTTTTAAGAGGTTTTAACATTCATGGAAAAAATTAAGCAAAGCATTATCCCTATTGAATTTCCAGGAGCCCCTAAACACTGGTTTCTCATTGGCTAGTTGAGTGTTTTCTATGGCTTAGTGTGCCAAGAAGGAGTTGAATGTGGATTTGGAATCACGCCTGGATTTCACTGAGTATATCGTCACGTCCCGGGCCTGCCGCATTCCCTATGCAGTCTTGGCTCCTTTAACAGGCTGTGGGTCAGTTGTGGTGGAAAATGTACATTTAGCAAGTTCCTTTTTTAGAATACTTCTTACACGTTATCTTCAGTCTCCTAAGTAGTAAAATGCAAGGGAAACACATGAATACCTTTTGCCCCTTCTTCTTGCATGTTGAAATTGTGGGTTTTTTTGAAAGATTTATTTATTTTAGGGAGAGAGTGTGTGGGGAGTGGAGGGAGCAGAGGGAGAGAGAGTCTTGGAGCAGACTCCCCGCTGAGCGCAGAGCCTGTCCTGGGGCTCCGTTCCAGGACCCTGAGATCATGACCTGAGCTGAAACCAAGAGTCAGACGCTTAACCGACTACACCACCCAGGTGCCCCAAAATGCTGTGGTTTTTTAGTTGCTCTATGGAAAAGTTTCTACTAGGTGTGATGGAGTCTGGGCCTTCCTCCATTACTCCTTTTGGTGAATGTTTCTGGCAGAACAGTAACAGTGTTCACTGGGCTCTCTCATGGCAGAGTGTGTGATGAACCTCTGTAATAATGGTGTTTATTTGGGCGCCTGGGTGGCTCAGTTGGTTAAGCAACTGCCTTCGGCTCAGGTCATGATCCTGGAGTCCCGGGATCGAGTCCCACATCGGGCTCCCTGCTCAGCTGGGGGTCTGCTTCTCCCTCTGACCCTTTTCCCTCTCGTGCTCTCTGTCTCTCATTCTCTCTCTCTCAAATAAATAAAATCTTTAAAAAAAAAAAATAATGGTGTTTATTTTTTAACAGATGGGTCAGAGAGTTTCTGAACGAAGAAAACAGAGGTCTTGATGTTCTAGTGGAATATCTATCGTTTGCGCAGTACGCGGTCACGTAAGTAAAACTTGGCTTGTTGGCTTTTGAATTTCATGTGGTCATAGAAGATGGAAGTGAGTGGCAAAATTACATACAGCACTGAGGGGGGAAACCCAGAAGCAGATGTGGTAAGGTTTAAGGAGGCTTGTTTCTACTCAAGTAACTAAAAGCAAATTATATAATCATTATTAGAAATGTTTTTAAGGCAGAAATAAAACAGGGGAGTAAAAATCACCCTTAGAGTAGAGTCCTTATTTTAAAAAGTGCTTTAGGGCGCCTGGGTGGCTCAGTTGGTTAAGCGACTGCCTTTGGCTCAGGTCATGATCCTGGAGTCCCGGGATCGAGTCCCGCATCGGGCTCCCTGCTCGGCAGGGAGTCTGCTTCTCCCTCTGACGCTCTTCCCTCTCGTGCTCTCTGTCTCTTATTCTCTCTCTCAAATAAATAAAATCTTAAAAAAAAAAAAAAAAAAAAGTGCTTTAGTGCTCAGGTTACATATATCCATATGGTAGAATACCCTGGCAGTCATTGAAAGAGGTGTATGCTATATTTTTGAGTGAATAAAGCAAGACACAGAAAATAACTTTTTTTGTTAAAAAAAAATTCTATATATGTATATATATGTGTATATTTGTATGTGCTAGTAAATGCAGAGAAAATGATTGCAGATAAACCAAATCAAGTGGGATTGGAAGAAAGAGTAAACAAGAGGCTTTCCTTTTTCTACTTTATATGTATTTGTATTGTTTTGACTTCCCCTTCGTAAGGTGAAGGGGAAAAATTGCAGCAGAGCAGGAAAGAAAATCAATTTACTTAACCTTGTTTTTTGTTAATTCATAAAATTTTCCCATTTGCTAGGCTTCTGGAATGCTTTACAACAGAAATTTCCTTCTTTAGTCAAAGAATATTGCAGTATCCACAGATTCTCTCTCTCTCTCTCTCTCTCTCTCTCTCTCTCACACACACACACACACACACACACACACACACACACACAGATTGAGGAAGTAATACTGTATTTTTAATTTGACCGGAAGACATTTGGGCCCAGGTGGTGTTTTTTCTCCCCTCAATGCTTCTTTTAAAAGCAGTAACTTGTTTTTCATATTGCATCACTCCAAAGAAGTTCTAAGACTTAACCAGATGTTATAATCCTCAGCACTTCCTTGAGAATTCATGAGGAGGAAGCTGTAATTACTCCTTTTTAGTGGATGCAAAAATTACAGTATAAACTGAAACTGACTGGATCAGTTTCAGGTTTGAGATCTCCTGTATATGATATGGAATAGAGTAAGAAACACCGATAGACAAGTTCTTATCTTTCTAAGAAATTGTCCTCTGAAATACAGTCCTAGTTTTTATAGCATATTCTTCCAAAGGTTGTTTCTTATCTATGTCCGTTGTGTCCAAAACTGCTAACCTCTCTCACACTTCATATTATATGCCAAAACACGATAATATTACCCTGCTGCATAGTTTAAAATCTGGAGGAAAAGTTACGGAATTAAGGAAGAGCTAAGAGACTTCATTTGTAATGGAAAAGGATGGTATGCTATGTATTACATGCCGGCTGTAATTAACCTTTTACCTACATCACAGTAGAGCTTGTGCACCCAGTTTTCCCAGACGTACCCTCACCTCAGACCAGTGGGAAAGGGCAGTGCTACCATGAGGGAATTCTAGGTGTGGTGTAAGATCAAACCCAGCAGATCAGAACTCAGAGCTTTGGTTTCCTTCTCTACTTTTTTTTTTTTTTTTTTTGGCATTACCTTTATATTCTCTGCTTATTAGTTTTGGTTTTCTGTTGTTTAATTTAGCAAATTATATAGAGAGACATAATTTATGTTCTTTCTTGAAACTAACGGGCTGAAAAATTTCTTACTGTCCTAGCCCAGGTAATGTGCACCAACAGGCTCATGCTCTGTTCCTAAAACGGGATGCTTCACCAAGGTGTGCGTTTCCTTCTTCGGCTCCATGGGGTGGGCGACCTGAGAGGAGCATAAGCCTGTGGGATAGCCGAACGACGTGGGGGACTGCAGAGTGACTTGGCGAGAATGTTGATGACATGGGTGATCTTGGGGTGCCCCCTCGGCTTACCTTCTCTGATTATCGGTTGTAGTCTTCTATTTTTAGTGTTTAAGGATTTGATTACTCAATCCCACCTCTTTCCTATTCAGCTCTGCTTCCTGCATCCAAAGGCATGACAAAATTGCCAGATGCATTCACTGATGATCCTCAGTGGCTGCCGCCTGGATTAGTATTTAATAGAGGGACAGCATCGCCTAGTTTACAGATGACGGTTCTAACAAAATATTTTATTTTGGCGATGGTACCCTTATAAAGAGTCATTCTTGTTATTGCCAATATGTATTGTTACTGTCTCTTCTGAGATAGCTGCCCAGATTTTCTATCTGGTATTAATTATAGCTGCCTTCTGTTTATTCTCTGTCTGATCAGGTGTTGCTGGGTGGAACTAGAGGTAGAAACAATTGATAAAATATATATATATATATATATATATATATATATATATATATATATATTTTTTTTTTTTTTTTTTTTTTTAGAAGGCAGAGCTCCTGTCTTTGGGAGGGGAAAATGCACAGAACACAAAGGCCTGGCTGTTTAAAAATTTTGTTCCTAAAATTATACAAGAATGAGCAACTTAACTTACCATTTATTCTAACATGGTCAACATGAGTAATAACCTCAAAAAATGTCAGAGAAACACCAGTCCTCCTTTAAAGAGCACCACATTGGGAAGAGATTCCAAAATCAAAGCAAATCCATAACTTTGCAAGTAATGTATCACATATGGTTGGAAAAGTACACTTGCCAACACACTAGGAGAAAATGCTCAGTGAAAATTGATGGGTAGGAATAAATTAGTATAAGCCTACATATTGACTTGTTAAAGCAAAATGAAGACAGCTGTAAGATCTTTCCTTCCCCTTTCACCATAGCAGTGTTAGCCATTGGTAAGTTAGTAAGCCTTGTAGTAAAATACAAATAATACAGTACTATTTATTTTTTCCTTGTAGTTCGACTCTTCTTTTGCCTTGCCCAGTATTTGTCATTTTGGATTTTCGAAGCTAACTCTGAGTCCGTGGAAATTCTTTTTGCATTGCTTTTTCGGTTTTCTTTGTTTGCAAGGACTGCCCATTATTGGGCGCGGATGCATCATAGGAAGGAGCCAGTTACGCACATCCATGTATTTGTGTGACTGTCCACTTTTTAAGTCTTCAGTGGCATTTCTCTTTTGTTTTAGTTTTGATTTCGAAAGCGTGGAAAGCACTGTGGAGAGCTCAGTGGACAAATCAAAGCCCTGGAGTAGGTCCATCGAGGATCTGCACAGAGGGAGCAACCTGCCCTCCCCCGTGGGCAACAGTGTGTCCCGCTCAGGAAGACATTCTGCACTGCGGTGAGTTCCGGGAACCAGGAGGGAGGCGCGTTCGGTAGGCAACACTGGGATCGCAGAGTGCCTCGCTTCTGTTGATGATCCTGGGCTACGCAGTGCTGTATCTTTCCACACAGCACTTATATCTGCAACGATGCAAATGGAAAGTTTCTTCGGGAGTTCATGGGATCATCTCTTGGGCAATACTCTACAGGTTTAAATAGTTTTGGGGAAACACCAGCCCTTCATTCGGTGCAGAAAGAGAATTCTGCTGCCAAATGATAGAGCGCAGCAGACTCCATAGACAAGTTTTCGAAACCAGGGAGATACTGACTTCGTGATTTAGGCTCTGTTTTCTGGGTAGAGGCAGCACCTCTTGAGATTTGAGGATCTCAGGGATTCCTTGTTGACTCTTCATTTTCTTCTCCCCTCCCTTCTTCCAGTGGTAACTCAGGCATGTGTTCTGTGGGACGTGTTCTTAGAGGTGCAAAATGCTGTAGTCATCATTTTTATTAATTAAATGCTTTTAGGCAGTGTTCCTTTGGTTAAGTGTGTTCAGTTGTCAACCTTTTGTTTCTTCCTAAGGCTTCTTCTCTAGTGTTTCATGGCTGAAATGCCACCATGCTAAGGAAGGATAGGTGCTGACCACCTGTACGACTAATGGGTATAATATCACTGAGATTGTTTATTCACTCATACCTACAGTCATTCATTCACTGAAAAATATTTTTGAGCTTCCATAATTTGCCAGGCACTGTACTTACAGTTAAGATACATGGGTGGGTAAATCAGAACTCCTGCCTGTCAACATAGAGATGACATCCAGAGCAAGTTCATAAATAGTTGAATAAACATTTTATTAATTAGGCCCCCTTCCCCACTGTTGTTTATTCTTCATAGCTTGAAATATTTATGTCACTTCAGGCTTGATCTGGCAAGTGGATGTTCGGGTCAGTGTTGAAGATTCCCATAGGTATTGGGTCATTGGTAGTAGGGTCCATGTATCAAGTTGTAAATCAGTGAAAATGTGGCTTGCAGAATTTTCATATTATTAGTCTTTTATTACCTCTTGTCTCTTTGACTTGGGTTTTGGTCATAGAAAGTTAATATCTTGATAATGAAGTTCAGTTTTGCCGAAGGGTTTGATATTTGAATATGATGCTTCCAATCAACCATTCAGATTTTCCATGTTTGGAAATGCCAAAAATATTAATGGGTTTTGAATGGTTTAATAATAATGAAGAGCAGTGTCTCAGTCCGTCTCATGGTATTTGCAACAGGCCAAGAACTCTATAACTAGCTAGCCTGCATCAACTTTACATGTGGACAAGGCTGATTTAGAAGTTGAAGAAAGGCCAGTCATGTGTGAAGAATTCCATTAATGACCTTTGTATGTGAAATGGAAATTCTTACCATTAGTATAGATATAATTATGTGTAAGGAATTTAATTACAAAGCACATTTTAATTTGCTTTTTTATCATTTCTTACCTGGAATGTATCACCTATTGGCCAGCTACCACCTCAAAAAGGATTCATTTTTCTGGTTAATAATTCATTAGGCCTAATTTTGAATTATTGAAGACTGTTCATTGAGAGCACATTATTTGTGGAAGAGTCAATAAAATATGGGAATATCTTCGATTTGAGGAGCACTGTAGTCCTGCACTCTAGAAGGCATAGTACTGGGACATCCGTGTCCAGCCTGACTTGCTTGACTGTTGGCTCAAGGTAGAACTCGCCAGAATTCATTTCAAATTGGAAAAATAGACCCAAAGTGTAAAGATAGACATGATGGAAATGCTCTTCTGAGAAACTCAGCAATGATCTGACCTTTTGGTTGGCAGATGTGCTAGAAGATGACCAACTAAGAAACCAACAACACATTCTTCTGTCTTGTGTTTGAACAGTTTCGGGCTGAGGAATGGAACATTTGGGTTTCCTTTGATTCTTCCTTCATGGGTTCTAGTAACTGAAGAAAATCAATGTGGCAGTAACTTTCATGCCCCCTTATTGACCTGAAGTTTAGACTTTTTGTTTTTAAACAATGTATATCCGTGATATTCCAGCTCTTGTGGTTCATGGATTTGTGCCTGGATTCTAATTCTGTATTTGGTCATTTGATAGCATCTGTGACTTAAAAAAACAAACAGCAATCAGAAGTACAGGCATATGGTACATGTTGCTTTTCATATACCCAAAGATTGTTTACATTTTTTTTCTCTTCCTCCTCCTCCTCCTCTCCCCTTTCTTTCTCTGCTCCCCACACTTCCTTCACTTTTTGGCTTTCTTTTTATTGTCCTTCTTTTCCATTCTGCCATCTCCTTTCTGATTGTCTTCGCCTACTCTACTTTGTCCTTTCTCATCCTACTGTCTCCTCTTCCTCCGGTTCCATTCATTCCTTACACCACCACCAGATGGGTTTCTCTGCCTGAGTATCTTCAGTTCAAATGCCACCAGAGCTGCTTCTCTCCCTGTTGCCTCTGGAGCAGCTTCAGTTTACACACTGATGATGAGGCTTCAAACCGGAACGTCTCGTAAGTCACGGGTGAACATGACGCCCACGAGAGCTCGTCGTGCATGGTGGCAGGGTATCACGACTGCTCCCCATTTTATAATACGATAATCTCAGTGGCTTCCCATCACCTGTACTGGAATGAAACCCACTGCCTTTTAAACTTCGATGCACTCTGTTATCATATTATGATTCCTCAGTTTAAGAATTTGACCCTCTAAGGTGTATTGTATTCATGTTGCGATTTTTTGGGAAAGCATAGAAGGGTATTCATGTTCTGTAGCTTATTCTGGTAGCTTTGTTTGATGGGAATATGTCTTTATTCAAATGTAGATTTTTAGTTCCTTGTCTTAATCTCCAGATGATAATGTAGATTGAGTTATCTTATCTATCACTTGGTAAAAAGTGTTAGTTAAACTTGGAAGAGGAAATGAGATTTCAAGAAATTTAAAACACTTTATAAATGGGGTTTGATTAAAGAAAAACACCGTTTTTAAAGAAAATTGTAATGTTGACACACACTCTCCTCAGACTTTATTTTTTAACTATTTAAAATGGATTAGTAAAAATTTTAAGACATGACATTCACCTTCAGTTATATCAGCTATTAAATGCTGTATTACATGAATTTGTCAGCTTGGCCAGTGGTAAAAATGTTGATATTGATGCAGTAGAGACCGGAATTGTGTGGTCTTGTAAGCTTAGAGTCTTGTGTGCCTTCAGTTAAGATTTCTGTTAACGTGGCTATAGGTCGAGCTAAAATAAATGATGCTGTATATGCACATGTGTACATGCTAGGTTTTTGAAGACAAAGGTTGTATTCAGATATAAGAGAAAGTAATTTTTTAATTTTTAAGAATGATTACTTCATGCCATTAGACTTAAATTAAGGAGTGACATAGACAATAAATAAATGTTTTGAGTTTTTAAAGAAATCCATGGAGCACTGAGAGCCTGTAAGAAGGGGTCAGATTTTAACTGGGACTTTGGGTGACACCAGAGTTGATGTTCGGGGTGAGGAAAGTGCTTCTGGTGGAAGTAAAGTGAAGAAGCATGAGATGAGCAAAAGCTTACATCAAAGGTCAGGCATGTTTGGGAAAGAGGGAAGAACCTGTCCTTTCTGGAGCAGGAGCTTTGTGATGAGGTAGAGGGTGATTTAATGGCGAGATTGGGTCATATACATCCAAAGCTGGTAGGCCTTGAGGGTCACCCCGATTGACCCTTCCCAGTGTGGTGAGGAAACCAACACCCACGTTTCCTCTAAGATGTTAACTTCTATTAGTATTTATTCTTGAGATCCCCCAGAACAAATTTCATTGTTTTTCTTGAGATTATTATCTTAAAGGAATGACATTTCCTGAATAGTCATCATTCTATTGACCACCTCTATCTTTAGTGAATTTACATGAAGAGATGAGTTCAAATTTAGATGCTTGTTGATAAGCATTTTCCCCCCATGGGACTAATTTTTTAAAGTAATTTAAAAACAGGCACAGAGGAGAGCCTGGGTGGCTCAGTCGTTAAGCGTCTGCCTTCGGCTCAGGTCATGATCCCAGGGTCCTGGGATCGAGCCCTGTGTTGGGCTCCCTGCTCAGCGGGAAACCTGCTTCTCCCTCTTCCACTCCCCCCTGCTTGTGTTCCTTCTCTCGCTGTCTCTCTCTCTGTCAAATAAATAAAATCTTAAAAATAGGCACAGAGATGTAGATAACATTGATATAATTTTTATTGGGGAGGAAAACATTGAGCGTCTACTGTGTGTCAGGCACTGTTCTAAGGGCCTTCGGTGATTTACTGCTCACAGTGGTTTTACGAGATATGACGACTGTTATCCCTGCAAAGAAACTGAGGTCTCTAGTGGTTAAGCAACTTGCCTGGGATCAAACAGCAAGTATAGGAGGTAGGATATGAAGTGAGCTGGCCTGACTCCAACTTCTAAGCCATGTTATCCTGCACAGGATGGTTTTTTTCTCCTTCATAAAGAGCCTGTTTTAATATCAGGGTGTCCACGTGTCTTTATGGGGGTTGTACCCTGCAGGAGGGGCTTTTGCAAATCCTTCTCGAAGATGTGCCTTTTTCTACTTCACACAAAGATGCCAGAGGATCTAGTGGAGACCTTGATCAATGTGCTGGTCAGTATAGCTGGTCAATCTAACTATTACAAAACAAGTTAACACAAATAGGAAAAAGTGTTTCCTAAACAAATGACAGGAGTAAGACAAAAAGTTCTGTATTTATACAATTTCATTGTTACCTATTTGCAGATAGGAAGGCATTGAAGGGGGGAAGCTTATTAAATGAAAAAAGTGACTTTTTTTTTTTAACCAAAGGGGAGATTATGAGTGAGCTTTTCTCAAATTTTTGTTTTTATGATGTTTTAGAACTGACCTAAAATACATGTAGTATATACTTGTGAATCAGGGAGAGGCCACATAATAAAGAACCTTGAATTTTGGAGTTTGGTTTTTATCTGGTAGGCAGTGGAATGGGAAGTCACATGAGGTGGCTGATCT